ATTGGCCTTAACAAGGTCACATAGTTGTTTAATGAAGAAACCCTGATTGGAAATAGGTTTCCAACCCAAAAGTTTGTCATCTTTTCACAAGACCAGATTGCCTCACTCTGATTCAAAAATTATTTGAAGAGAGGATTTAAATCATCTATTCTGACTTGTCTTCAGATTTATTTCAAACGTCCAGCTGGGCCCAACAATGGCGATGTATTTTCTTCCTCAAGCTCTTAAAGTACCAGTCAAGCCATCAGGGAAGTGTCATTTTCCACAGACCATATACCAAAGTAATTCTTGATCAATTAAAAAGTCATATATTTTTAAAAGGAAATAAAATTTATGTAAAGATCAGATCCTTTAAAGAATTATAATTTCTAAGCTTTAAAGCAACAGAAAGAATCATAAAGGAACAGATCGTTTCCTGACAACATAAAAATGTAAAATTTCTATAAAACAAGTAACCAAAACAGAACTGCAAACAGCAGACCAGAATGTTTGTTGCAACTAAAATCAGGGATAATATTTAAGTTATAGGAGTAACTCCTTCACATATGAAAGGACAAAGTTACAACTCTAGTAAATGAGTGAAGGATTTAATCCTTCTCACAAGAAAAAATAAAAATGATAGGAAATAAATGGAAAAAAAATCCTTGCAAATGAGTACATTCAAATTAAAGCATCCATGAAGGTACCATTACATACCGCCTCAATTAGCAAGTGGCTTTCTTTTCAAAATAGTAACTGCGCAAAGCCATGAGGTTGGCAGTGAAACTCACACACCACTGATACCTCCCGTGCAAACTGGGGAGTTGACATCACTGTGTGGCTGTACTTGGATTCACCTCTACAACTGAAAAAGGTCTCAGACACTCTCTCTCTGTATTAGCCTGCTCAGGCTGCCTTGACAAATACCACAGACTGGGGCTGTTTATTTTATGTTTATTTTCTCAGCTCAGGAGGTGGGAAGCCCAAGATCACGGTGTCAGCAGGTGTGGTTCCTTCTGAGGCCTCCCTCCTCGACTTACAGACGGCCGTCTCTTCCCCATGTCCTTGCGTGGCTGCCCTTGGTTTTTGTGTATGTCGTCATCTCTTACAAAGATCAGATTCTTATAAGCCAGGCAGACTGGAGTAGGGGTCACCATAGGACTGATAATTAAACTTTATTACCTTTTCAAAGGCCCTGTCTCCAAGTACTGTCACATTCTGAGGTCCTGGGGTTAGGACTTTGACATTTGAATTTGGGAGTGGGGGACACCGTTCATTCCATAACACCCTAGTAATGCCTCTCTGGTAACTTATTCTGAGAAAATAAGTCAAATTCAGTATATGCATAAAAACATTCATTTGTAGTGTTTGAAGAATATCAAACAAATATACCTGAGATATTTATAGTGGGAGTTAAATAACTGTTAGCTCCACTCAGTAGATTATTTCTTAGCCAGTACAATTTATAAAAAATGAAAACTAAAAAAACATTTTTAAGAATTCTTAACGTAGAAAAGTAAAATACAAATGCAGTATGATTGATTGGAAAGTATCTGCAGGAAGAAAGGATAAAATTTTCTTGTGATTCGGATATAGATGATTTCTTCCATTTTTCAAACTATTTCCACTAAGTTTTTCCTTATTTCAAAAAAAAAAAAGTAGGTTAGAATGAGTAATGGGTGGTAAGACAATACCAGGCTTCTGTATCAGGTCATACCAAAGTTTAGTATCTTAAGTTAGAATTTTAGTCAGAAACAAGAAAAATGAAGAAAAGTTGATGCCCAACAAATTAGTGTAGCAACTCAGCAACGTGACAGTAGTGCCCAAGAGCCTGGGGAGGCTTTGGGACGCCCAGCGCTCTGGCCGCACTGAGGGGGGGACTCGGGCTGACCCCTGCTGACCCTGCGCGATCTATTTCCGGAAGACTCCTCTTCTTTAAGATGCAGTTGTGAGCACAGGTCCTCACGGAGCCCGCTTCTTCCTGTATTCTTTCGTTCTCTGTCTCAGCGTAAATATGCACAAGATAATTGTGCGGTATTTTTTCTCAGCCATGGCAATTATAAATTATACTCTGGCCATTCTGTACCCCTTGCAAAGAGCCAGAACCAGGTGGAAATTCAGAGAAAGGAGATGAAGTCAGGCATTTTCATTTTCTCAGTATTTGTCTATGAGATGTCAAACCAGAAATCCCCCCGAAACCTCTCCTGGCCACACAGTCCCCAGCTCAGCCTTTCTTCAGGGGGGCCTGTGCGTGAGCCAGGGCTGAGGGGAAATGCTCTGTTCATCTCCCTAGGCTTTCCCAGCCAGCGTGGGAGATGGCTTTTTGGGGGTAGACGCCTGCCCTGTAACTGTCCGCCTGTCCCCTGTTCCCACCCTGTCAGGACTTGCAGCCGTCTGAGAGGCTGGGCCCACGGGCAGGAGACCCACTTTAAGGATGTCGCGCCCTGGAGAGAGACGGGGGCGGGAGAGGCGGCAGCTGTCCGCGGTGACAGAACTGCCATCTCCTCCTTGGGCTGGAAAAATCCATCACTGCCTTTCTGGGAGTCCTTCGGGCCTGCAAAGGGAGGGTTAGTGAGTAAACAGAATAATAAAGGTGTTCTAGCCTTGAAGCCTTACTCAAGGAAGCAAAGAAAGTATTACCCTGCAGCGTGTGGATTCTGAGCCTTTTTATCCGTGTGCTTTATCAAACATTTGCCTCTGGCATCCTGGCACACACTCCGTTCCCTCCTGGAGGGTCAGGTGGAAGGGATCTATATATTTAAGGCTGAACCGAAATAGCACGCACAGTTACTCAGGTGCCGTGTGTGTGTGTGTGTGTGTGTGTGTGTGTACACACACACGCATGGAGGCAGCAGTGTGCAGTGAAAGGATGCCCGCTTTGGAGTTATTCATTCATGTATTAGTTCCACCAGTTTTGCTGAGCTAGCACCTGGCCAGCACTGTTCTGGGCACAGGGGACGCAGGACTGAACAAAGAGGACAAGGCCGCTGCTCTGGAGGAGCCCATGCTTTGGAGGGACAGCCAGTAAACAGGTGAACCGGGCAGAGGTGAGGGTTCCTGGGCCGGCTCACCATTTAACAGCCAGGACACTTGACACATGACTTTCACCCCACTGAACCCCAGTTTCTTCAAATGAGATCACGCTGTCTTAAACTGATGTTTTAAGGCTTAAGAAGTTGCTTAAAGTGCTCACTGCTGCAGGGGGAGTACTCAGTGAATGGTGGGGACCGTTACAGTGAGGGCAGAAGTCTGGTTTCCAGCCCTGAGCAAAGAGGAGGGAAGGCGGAAGGGAAGAAGGCACGTGGACCCCCGCAGCACACCCCGCAGCCGACTGAGAGCTGGCGTGCCCCTCTCAGCAGAAAAGCTGGGCCTGCATGACAGTTAATTTCCTTACCATCTACCCTCCAAACACAAACATGAAACAAAAATGCTCAATTGAGGTCAGCCTGCTTTCTTCCCGAGCCCAGGGGGGCTGAGCTGTGTGTACAAATGTTGATGAAATAAGAGGCCAAGGAAAAGATGCCTAGGCCTTGCAGAGACTCTTTCTGAGTGCTAGCGTCCAGTTCCAGTCAGATCTATGCAGAGATAATGTCCTTGTCATGTCCTTGTGCAGTTTCTCAAAAGTGCAGGAGTGTAGGCTCTTCAGCTACGTAACAAATGCTGATTCAACTTGATGCTCAAGTAGAAGGATGATAAAACCTCTGTGCCCCTAAGAAGCTCCTAGCCTGGCAGGGGAGACAGATGTACAAATTATAACCTGAAGAGGCATGTAATATATGAGACATCTAGAGAAAATGTCACCAGGAAGATGACACTGGAGCTGTCGTTTATGTTGGTTTTGAAGGATCGCAAGGTTATAGTAAAGATAGGTGCTGATAGTGGGAAATAACTTATTTCCTGAAATTATGTTTTAGTTCTTGCAGGAGTAGACACATCTGACCTTCTCATCTTCAGTAGCCTTTCCTCCTTGTCACAGAACACGCAGGAAGAGCACATGGTGTACACTTACATAGTGTAGCTGGTCTAAACATTAGTTAATTGGTTTTGAAATACCACATTGAGGTTTCTACAACCAAAGTTGAGAGTGCACAGAGAACCCGTTGTGCAGCTGTTTTGTGACACCCCAATGTAAATGAGAAGCTCTGGGTTTTGAAGTGTGAAAAATGTTGAATTGATCCTTACAAAAATATGGACAATAAAATAGAAAAAAATAAGCTAAATGTCAAAACTGTGGGAAGACATACATACAAGGAAAACACGGAGGAAACATGCAAGCTGTAAGAGCCTTAAAGCACGGGCCATGTAATGTTGGTCTCCAAAGCCGTATAAAAATGTGTTTTAAAAAGGTAAGCTTGATACCAAGCTTTCTAGAGGCTTCTGCAAGAACAGCTTCAACACCTCCTGTTGGTTATGCTCTGTATATCAGTGGGGTTGACAGATATATTCTCTGAGTGAAGTAGAAAGGAGGCTCTCTTGTTTTGAAGAGTTTTTCATGTCAATCTACATACAAGAGAGGTTCAGGGTTAAAGAAAACGAACCTCTGTGAAGCGCAACTGGACTGGTAAATGTGGTTGTCAAAAGCCCTGGCTTTGAAGTCAAGCCTGACCTGAATTCAGATTCTGGCTCCATGACTTAGCACAATGTTAAAGTTCTCACACCTCAGTTTCCTAATCTGTAAAATCAAGAGGTAAAGGACTCCTGACGTCATGGGATTGAATTGGGAGGACTTGAAGGAAGACGCGCACGGCGTTCTGTGCAATTTCTGGCGTCAGCCTGTGGTAGCTGTGGCAGTGATTCGAAGGGTTTTTGGGACACGCTTGTGTCTTATGTTAAAAGGAGACCACGTCTGGCGCCCTGTGTGTGCAACCTCGGACGCTCATGCCCTGTGTACGCTTTGCGGAGCAGGCCCTGTTCACCCGGTGCAGTGTTTATGGTGAGAGCGCACGCCAGGGCAGAGCGTGGGCTGCTGGCGAGAACGAAGCGAGGCCACGCTCATGTTTTGCCTGTCTTATTTCTTGAAGGTGAATGATTCAAATTGTGACCCAGAACTCCTTTCTCTGCTCCTGGATGCCAAGCTGTTGGTGAAGTGCGTCTCCACCCCCTTCTACCCTCACCTCATTGAGCACCTCCTGGCCAGCCCCCAGCTCTGGGATGCGGAGGAGCTGGCCAGACACCTGCAGGAGGCTGGCCACAGAGCCGAAGCCGGCTCGCTCCTTCTGGCCGCGAGGGGGACGCATCGGGCCCTGAGAACTTTCAGCGCCGCTCTCTGTGCGGGCCGGCCCTGGCTGTGATGGCGTCTCTCCGTGCTGCTGGGAAGGGCCAGCCGGAGCCCAGTGCAGCCCCAGGGGCAGCGTGTACCTGTTGACGGTTCTCGGTGGTTCCAACAAATTGCAAATAAAGCTATCTGTAAAGGATGACAGGCTGCCGTGTTTGGCCTTTTTTTTTTCCCCTTGCTTTGAGTGACTGGTTAACATACTTTCTTACTAAGACTTGACTCTTCCTCTGTTTTTTTTGACTGCCTTTTCTGGATAGAATACAGTTAAAAGTCTCTGAAACTACAATTCAGACAGCCGAATGGGGTGGTGGGTAGGGTTGCATTAGAAAGGGGGAGTGTGTGGCAGACTTGGTGGTCAGAGCAGATGTCGAAGGATGAAAGGACTTGAATTCAAGTCTTGGGTTAGTTTTGAGACTTTGGGCAATATACTCCACCTGTCTGAACCTTAGTCTGTCAGGTATGAGATCAGGGCTGTGCTGTTCATCTCACAGGTTGTTGAGTGTTAGGCGAGGCGTGTGTGAGGTCCGTCAGCTGCATATGGGGGCCCAACAGTTGTTACCTCTCCCACCCACTCCCTAGTGTTTTGAGTTGGGACTCCAAGGACACAGCCAGATGATCAATACCAGCATGTGAGTGCTGCCCACTCCATCAGGGGCTTCTGAATTTACCGGAGTCCTATTAAGGGTGACAGATTTGCATGTCTGTAAAACCTGTCTAACCAGGTAGGTGGGCTAACAGAGCCAGCATGTACAGAGGGAGGGGCAGAGAGAGGGTGAGCAGGAAGGTTTAGTCTAGATAGATGAGATGGTATCACAGAGGGCAATCCTTTCTTATAAGGAATAATTTTTAATGAGTTTAAATAATTTGAAACGGCCACCGCTGGTCAGTCTCCATATTGCTGTCAAGGCCAGTGGGTGGGGAGTCCGTGGCTCACCGTGGCTCTGATGCTGGGCACAGTGGGCAGCCTGGCCCCCACAGTCACCCTCCCGTTCTCTGGGTGTGGGGTCACACCTGGTTGGGACGCCCCTGAGGATAATGTCACCTCACAGTCTACCATCACCACCACTGGCTTCACTGCACCTCTGTTCCCGTGGGTGAAGCTACAGCTCCTCAGGCAGGAAGACGTTTCACCATCACTGGAAGCTTTGTCAGCGTGATGGCTCACTGCCCTGATTGCGGACCAGTGGCCTCCCGGGGCTAGTCCTTGCCCAGACCTTCAGCAGCACCTGGAATCTAGGGAAGGCTTGCACAAGCCTCTGAAATACTTGAGGAAAGCGGTCAGCACTTCCCCCCGCGGTTAGGTAACATCAGTCTAGAGAGGCCCATGAGGCCACACAGGCCTTCTGCAGACTCTGAGGTCACCGGCAGGACCAGGTGGCGTTAAGGCAGCAGGAAGCAGGTCTGCTGGGAACTTGATTTTTCTCTAACCTTACAGCGAATTTCCATCATTTTAGGTGATTGAAAACAAAATGAGCAGTATTCTGAGACAACATGGCCCATTTTACTGGAATTCATCCAGAAATGTTTTCCTTCAGATTACAGTGACAGGCCTTAGACATCAGTACACCCTGACTGTGTAGATTCATGAACAGGCCCTGGGCTGACGTGACTTACTCAAGAACAGCAGTGAATTGTGGGTCTCATGTCCCCAGCCATCTACTCTGCAGAGACGATGAGGAAGGGGTTCCCTCAGATAAACTACCTTGCTCTGATCTGACTCCTGACCTCACTTACCAGAAAACAAATTTGCTAGGTTTGAACAGTTTCTATGGGGAAAAGAAAAAGAGCAAGAAATAAAGGAATTCATTCCAGATTAATGCCAGTTGCATAAATACTCCAGAAGACTGAAGTGATCTTTGTATTGGTATTTGGAATGTTAACCATAAATCTTAGATAAAGAAGGTATGTGGTTTTATTGTAAAAAGCTCCTGACAGTTATCCCAGACCTTTCTCTCTGGGGACAATGCAGGATGAAAAAGGGCTGCCTGGCCCTCACTCACACTCAGATGTGATAGTTTTGTTTGCCTGGAAAGTGGATCTGTGGGCGAGCGGAGTACAGAGATGGCCCGGGTGTGAACACTGAGACCCTCAGATAAGCTGCTTCATGTCTCTGAACCTCATTTTCTCATGTGTAAGTAGGACTAATAATGCCTTCTAGGTATTTGCAGTTCACCAAATTAATGCCTCATCGATGCCACCCAGGGTGCCCTGTGCCTTGCTGGGTCCCCGTGCTGCAAGGGGACTCTCTGTTGATGGTGCTGGGCTGTTTCAGCTGAAGAAATTCTCCCCCCAAAACACCCCAAGCTTTAAGTGCATTAACGCATTTAATCCTCATGGTAACCTCACAAGGAGAGGAGGTACGGAGAGGATAGTAATCTGCCCCAGGACACAAAGTCAGTGAATAACGGGACAGCGATGTGGTCTCCCGTATCTGAGAGCCTGGGCCGTGGCCACATGCTGTATTGACATGACCCACCACAGCTCTGATAATATCATGACAGAAGGGGGCTAAGAAATGTCCTTTCACTCTTTCCAACCATCTACTGGATGTCCCCACCTTCTGAAGCTGGGGGCGGGGAGGACATGCTTCACCTTCTCTGGTTAAGGGCTCTAGTGCTGACAAGTCCTAACCCCCCTTTCTTACAGAACACCTAGGTGCCTTCTTCCAAACCTGCCCTGGCGCCCCACATTTCCCAGAAGGTGCACGTAGTTTTGACCATCACTAACATTTTCTATAGACACTTCCTATGACATCACCCAGCTCATGAAAATGAGGGCAGCTCATTAAAGGAGGACCCGGGAAGTGTTAGCATCCATCTTGAAGCTCATTGGGACCGTGACTGCCTAGTAGAACCACCTGAGGAGAACTTTAAACATACCGACGCCAAGTCCCCCACCCTAACCTGAACCGGCTGAATCAGAATATTGAGGGGTGAGGCCCCCAGGGATGCCAAACCATAGCCAGTCAGGGAACCGCATTCATATCTTTGGCTTCTCATCTCTTGTTGGCCGTGTCTCTGTCCACTTGCCTTTCATTCAGAAGCAAACAAGGGAAGCGCCAGGCCCCGAGCCTGGCCTCCCTCCGTGCCGATCCCGCTCTGGACGGGTGGGCGCAGTCCCTGGTCGGGGGGTGACCTGCCGACGCCAGTTCTCCTCCCCCAGCCTCCTCGCGAGCGTGAGCAGAGCTGCCTGCAAAAAAAAGGGGAGCAACTGGAGGGGGGGATGAAAAGGCCCAGCACTTACTTAACCTGCAGCTAAAGTAGGGCCTGGAGCTGAGGTGGTTCCGAGCCCGCTGGGCCCCTCGGGTCTGCAGGCAGCGCCCGCAGTATGCTCCTTTCTCCCCTCACCTTGAAAACTGCATCTTAAATCTTCATGGAAAGAAAACTCATCATGATAAATGTAGCAGGACAGCGTTCAAATGCAGCTTTGCCCGGTTCTTTAAAGACAGGCTGCTTTTTTCTCTGGTTAACTGGAGCTCTGTACTGAGCTCCAACAGCTGGGATTTCGTACCTCTTCTTACTAATTCTTAACTCTTTTTAAACTGAAGATGGCTTATCAAATGGGAAAGTACAACCATAGATTAATGGGTGTTCCAGGACTTGAAGAAAAGGAAGCCTCTTGGGGGAGCACCACCCATTGGGTTGTTTCCTCTCCGGCAGCGGGGGTGTGAGAAGCAGGGTGTGGTTCCTGTCCCAGGAAAGCCCAAGCTCTCAGACTGGAGGCCAGCACTGCAAACGGGAGAGCTGTCGCATTGCATCCTGCTCACGGCCATGAGCCCGGGGGGGGGGGGGGGGGC